AGACAAGTTTGCCTGCTCCTCGGATTGATGTAGGTGCTGCTGCGGCAGCAGCAAGGCCATCTTCAACCAGCCTCAGTCATGTTCTAGGTCAGCTGGGGACTGTGTGATCATGAAGGCCTTTGTGTGATCACATTTCATCTGGGAGCTTCTTCCAGACAAGGTTGACAATACAAACAGGTTTCTACCAGCCTGGTGGAGGGAAGGGTCATTCAGCACCAGGGGCACATGCCTGGGGACATCCGGAAGGCAGGGAAGGACCCTCTGTCCCATCATGGGCTCTCAGGGACTCTGTGGAAGGAAGCTGGTTGTCAGGAAGGTAGAATTACTTAGAATGAGGGGAACTACTGTGTAGAGTGGCCAAGGAGGACAGGCCAGGGCTGTCTCACTCTCAGGGCATCTGCACTTCCCACACAGTTGGAAAGGAAGCTGCCTCCCGGGCCCTGGCAAGGGGCCCACAGCTGTGAGTGGGCAGGGGACTGGCTCTGCTGTGAGAGGGTGCTGAGGACAGCACACAGCTTGGTCCAGCTGCTACCCTTCCAGCAGGTGCTTGAGGTTTGAATTTCTATGTGAAATCTCTTGATGGTGCTGGGGCTTCTTGTTGCTTTACTGGGATGTCACTGACATCAAATAAACTCAGATACTCATACATATATTTGATAGGTTTTGAAATCCACAGTACCCCATGATAATGAACCACTGATGTATTCCATTGTGTGGGAGACCATAGTCTTCATCCGTTCACCTATTATTGGACATGGATGTTGTTTCCAGTTTGGGCCATTACAAATAAAGCTGGTAGAAATATTTATGTACCAAAAGCACATTTGATTTCAAATAGTACCTTTACTTTCCATTGAAAAATACAAAGATGCTAGCATGCTTTAGTTTTATGCTCTATGCTCACAAGTAATATTGGCCAGTAGATTTATTTTATCTTCATCAATATGTGCATAAATCAAATATATTTACTTTTTTTCTTAGATTTATTTATACTTTTTGCAACCATTCCTTCTCAACTTTCAAGTTTTCTTCTGGGATCAGTTTCATTCTGAAATGTGTAATTAAAAAATTTAAATAATTTGTAGATGGAAGTAGATTCCAGGAGTTTGTCTGCATGGAAGTATCTTTTTATTATTGTTCTTTTTTAATTTTTAAAAATTTATTTACTTGAAAGGCAAAAAAAGAGAAGGGGAGAGGAGGAGAGGGAAGCAAGAGAGAGAAGAAAAAGAGAGATCTCTCATCCTTTATTTCACTCTCTGAAAGCCTCCAACAGTCAGGGCTGGATGAGACAGGAGCTGGGATCCCAGAACTCAATCCAGGTGTCCCATATAGGTGGCAGGGACCCACGTACTTGGGCCATTGCCTGCTGCCTCCTGGAGTGAGTATTATCCAGAAGCTGGAATTGGATTGGATCTGTGAGCCAAACCCAGGCCCTCTAATATGGGTTGCAGGCATCCCAAGCAGATTCTTAACTGATACAGCAAATGTCTACTCCTTTATTGCTGTTCTTATTCTTCATTCTTAGAACATTTTTTCTGATATATGATTAATATTTACTATCTTTTTGAGAGATAAAGAAGTTGTTTTATATTTTTTGTTAATTTATTTTATTTTAAGGCAGTGAAACAGAGAGCGAGACAGAGACAGACAGAGAACCTCCAATCTACTACTTTACTCCCAAAATACCCGGGAGCCTGAAACTCCACCTAGGTTTCCCAAAGGCATGTCAGGGACCCAAGGTCTTGAGCCATCACCTGCTGTCTTCCCAGTGTGTATATGAGCAAGAGCAGTCAAATCACAGATGATATGGGATGAGGACATCCCAAGCAGTGTCTCAACCACAGCACCTATTGCCTGTCCCGACATTTACTTTAATATTTCATCTGTCTCTGCTACTAACACTGATTATCAGTTGAATTGTCATTCAACTTCCAGTTGAACTGTGAAGTGCCTGTGTCGTTGTAGCTGCTTTTGGAATCTTCTCTTTGACTTTGATGATCTACAGTTTCAATATGGTCTGTTTACATACGGTTGTCACTGTAGTCACCCTTGTGGCAAAGTCCTCAAAATTGCAGACTTTATAGCAGTCTCTCTATCATTTTCTTTTGGAAATGTAACATTTGAATTTTGCAATTCTCTCTTCCAAGTTTTAAAATGCCTCTTTTGTATTTTAAGCTTGATTTTTTTTTTCTGACTGTATTTTGTGTCTATTTCTAAGGTTAAATTTCAAATCTAATTTTTCTTTTCATTTATGTCATAGGCTGTTGAGCCTACTGAGAAATTTTCAAGGCTAGAATCTCATGTTTGTGGTGTGTGTGTGTGTAGTCTGATGGAATATTTATGATAGTCTGTTTTTTGCATCATTTGTTACATGCACCCCATTTTAAGCATATTAACCATACTTACATTCTCCCCATGCTACTTTCAGTTTTTGTGTTCTTTCCAGGTTTAAATTCTGTCCAGTCTCATTTCACAGTGGCTTGTTTCTATATATACAAGTATTTTGTGATGTTTCTGATGACTAGCTCATGCTTTACGAAACATTATCAACAGAAATTACTTGAGGACTCATTGGAAAGCACAGTTCTCCTGGGAGTATCTGGACCAGTTACAGGCTCGTATGGGTCATGACCAACTCATGACTATGTCACCCAGTATTGCAACTCAGAGCTTTATGTGTCTGTCACACAGGAAGTATAAATATTGGCTCCAAACCCAGGCTAAGATGAGTTTGTGTTTACAAATTCTTACGGTGAACATTTTATCCTTTAAGAAAAAAAAAATAGGCAAGGGTTCCTACCACCTTTATCTCCAGTTGATCCAATGGGGGTGCCCTATTTTATGAGTCCTAGTATTGTGTGGGATTTGTAGTTCACTTCCATATTGGAAAAGCCCTCAGGCCCAACCCAGTCCCTGGGCACATTTGTCTCCCTCTACTCCCTGCTGCTTAGTGGTACCGCAACATGGCAGCTGGAGTCAGCAATACCATTTCCTCTCAGGGGTCTGATTTTCTCTGAATATTTGGCATACTTTGTCAATATAGCCGATCTCTTAAACACACATGCTTTGTGATTTAATCTAACATTTTTAGAGGGTGTGAACTGCAATGATTTTTATAGGGATCAATTCACTATGCTGCCAGAAATAGAGCTGCAATGCCACTGAATTTATACTGAATTCTCTACATGGATGTCAAAGGCAAGTAAATCTGCAATAAGTAAAGGACATGATTTTCAACACAGTTATCCCCTTTGACTAATTTGAAGCTAAATCCTTGGAGAGGTAGAATTCTCTGTTCTGCTGTGACTTAATCCTGCCAATTACCATCGAGGTGTATGACAAGTAGTCAGACAGTCAATGATTGAAGTCGATTTTCAAAGGATCTCACATTACTGTAAAGATGACATAGAGAACATGTTATGCATACCAGAGGATGGGTGAATGGGTGGATGGATAGTTGCATGTGTGTAAGGGTGTCTATTGCACATACATTAGTATATGTAATTATGTTGTATACATGAATACACTTGAGAAACCTGCTCTGCAAAACGTATGCAGTGCAGCTTCGTCACGGGAGGTGACTCATGACTGCAGCATGCCTTGATGCCTGTGAGTGACATGCAAGCCGTTACCTTTCCTTCGGAATTTGCATTAGCAGCCACCCTGCCGGTGGTCCCTCGTTCTGTTTCATTGCTGTCTGGGTACCCCTGCCATCATCCAGCAGACTGGGGAGAGGAGGCACAGCTAATGGCACCAGCTCAAACGCTCTGTCTTTGCTTCGGACGGATTTTGATCCTTAGAGAAGATGTTAGCTGCCAGCTGGCTGTGACAGTCTGTGAGCTGACACTGACATTTGTGTTGCTGCCCTGACAGTGTTTACAGCCCAGGAAATATAGAGTCAGAGTAGGATCGGCCTGAGGATTTTTTAAGGTAAAAGGTGGAACAATAATGCAAATGATAAACATGACCACAGTAATCAAATTATTTTTAAAATAAGTGTGGAGCTTAGGGTCTCCTTCAGGAAGTATCTGCTCTCTGTCTACGAGATCTACACAGCCATAAGCTTGCACAGACAGATCACTAGCAGGGGAGCCCAGCAAGGCAGTCACACAGCTGCTTATCCCGGTGGCACCTTCCAAAAGTCCACCATGGCAGAGACCTGCTAAGGCCCAGGGGGCAGAGAGAAAGAGAGAAGGCACCTGTGAATGGTGGGGGGATGGAACATAAACATCACAGCGGCAGTCAGAGAGAGGAGGGCGCCATCTTTGCTGTTTCTCTTTCATAGACTCTGGACTGACTCTTCCTTACCTAGACTCTCCTTTTCTGTTTTAAGATTTATTTATTTATTGTAAGGATAGAGAAAAAGAGGGAGAGAGGTGAGAGGAGAGAAGAGGGAGAGGGAGAGGGAGAGGGACAGGGACAGGGACAGGGACAGGGACAGGGAGAGGGAGAGAGATACTTCCATCTGCTGGTTCACTTCCCAGATGGTTGCAATGGCCAGCACTGGGCCAGGCTGAAGCCAGGAGCCAGGAACTTCTTCCAGGTCTCCCATGAGTGTAGCAAGGGCCCAAGCACTTGGGCCATCCTCCACTGCTCTTCCCAGGCCATTAGCAGGAGCTGGATCAGAAGTGGAGGAGCCAGGACAGGAACCAGAGCTCCTAAGTGATGCTGGCATCACAGGTGGCGGCTCTATTCACTACACCACGACTCTGGCCCCCTAAGCTCTCCTTTTTGTCCCATGACTGTCACTTTGGGAAGATCTCCAGGTGCACATTTCCATGTAATCAACCAAAGTGAGTGGGGGGCAGTGGCTCAGGGAGAATTTCTGTCAACATCGTCAGCACCTCTGAACGTCACGACACTTGTGGTGAATGTTATTAAACTGAAGTCCGTTGGCATTTCTGTCTGTATTCTAATTTCCTAGTTATCACTGAAGATCCCATCATTGTGTTGTTTCAAAAACAAAGCAAAACAACCAAGGAACATGCCCGGGTACTTACTGCTCTGGTCCCAGGGCAGTTTGGGGCTTGGCATTCACCATGCATCCGGTTTGGACCCAAGACATCTTCCCAGCAAGATGGGCCCTGCGAGAAAAAGGACAACGTGTACACAAAATAGAAACTGACTCCATGTTCTAAAGTCTCTCCAGTTATATTATGAAATGGTGATAAAATTAACATGTAATCCAGTGGTTTTCAAAGTGCGGTCCATAGACACCAGGGGTCCTCAACACCTTCTTGGGGGATCTGCTAGGACAAAGCCATCTTCAGGGACACACCAAGACTGTATTTTGCGTTTAGTTTTGAAAACATTCATTCCTCACGCCAGGGCCCTGCTTAGCTGGTGCTCTGACTAGAAAGGCCACTGCTGGGCTTGGGGCTCCTCTCTCCAGCACCTTTGCTGGGTGGCGGTTACGCTCCTGACAAGCGTCAGTCTCAGAGCAGGGTGTTGTTTGCCCCCTGTCCTGAAGCAGACTTGGTCCATTCTGCTCTCTGCAGCACCCACACCCAGGGGGCTCAACAAGCTCTCTTAGCAGTCAAAGAAGCACCTTGAGTAACAGCGAGAGCCTTTCTATGAAGTGGGGAGGGAGGACGAATGAAACATCAGTGTCCATTAATGCACAGCTTTCAGAAAGCAGCCCAGCAATCCACGTTGGGAGCCTGATAGCCAGTTCAAGACTTTTTGTCTAAATTTTAGGAAATCTACATGGGCCCAAAATAGTAAGAACAGAGAGAGCCAGATGCATTTGGTTTACAGATGCTGTGTACAGAGTGGTAAGAAACTGGAAATCGCCCAGATCCCTAGAGATAGCTGGATAAACACCCCCTGCTAAAGCCAATAGCATGCAGCCACTGAAATTCATTGCTCTTCATTACTGGGTGAAAGGAATACAAAATCGAATTCAAGTAGGAGTCCAACTATTAAATGATTATGGAAGGAAAGATTAGGAAGAAATAAAGACATAATCTGCATCATTTTGGGTAGCAGATTCCTCTCCACAGATAAATGTAATTTCAAAGATATAACACTTTTCTTAAGTGCATTGCAATTTTAACTGGTGACTTTTAAATGAAAACACACCTGCCAGTCATACTCACAGAGGCCCTGGGGCAGCAGTTGAATGAGTCAAAGCCTCCCTGGACTGCTGGTCACCATGAGCCAGCTGGGCACACACGGGGACCTCCTCCATACTCAATCTCATTTCAAAACTGACACCATGTAAACCCAGAACAGAAGACAGCAGTGGTCAAACAGAGATTTCCATGGCTTTCTGGAAATGGGCCCAGGGCTGTGGTAGAGGATGAGCCTTCACCTGTGCAGGACCACAAGGAGGCTGAGGGCTCAGACGAAGGCAGGGCCTAGAGAAGGCAGAGGGACACCTGGAGTAGCAAATCCACACACAGAAGAATCTGAAATATGCCCGAAAGAAAGCTCAGATCACCCATCTGGAAACAGAAACCAAAATAGAATTTTAAAATCATAGCAATGCCTTCAAAGTTCAGGGGGAAGGGTTTTCGATACCTACTCTGCATCTAACCAAATTCTCAGTGAAATGGGATACAGGGAGGTGGCAGGTTTGCTTGCAGGCCTGCGGGGCTGAGATCAGGGTAAAGTCCCACGGTCTGCGGAAGGCAAAGGGCCCGGCCTGGACCGCTTGGCAGCTGTGAGTCAGGGATGGCAAGGTGCAGGACTGAGGGAGGAACTGAATCCTGTGACAGGGAGGTGAGGGGAGGGCAGATGGACAAGGTTCCAGTGGAGGTGGTGTGAGGGCCAGTGCCTGGCATGGGGAGGAGGAAGGTTACAACAGAGGGCAGGGCTGTGGCCATTCTGATATAGGCAGGCAGATAGGATTAAATTGATTAGAGTTGTGAGCTATGGACTCCAGCTTCTCCCTGCCCCCTTTCATGATCTCATGACCGTACCTGGCCTCACCTGTACGCCCACTGCCAATCTGACTACATACCCACTCCCCTTTGGAAGTGAGAAAAGATATGGAACGTGGTGGGGCCTTTCCTTTGTTGTCCCATGACTCTGGGCGCATGGCCTTTTGGCCACCTCTTTCCGTCTACTTCCCTGCCCCCACTAAGCTACCTGTAGCTGCTCCTAATGGCACACTTTGCTCCACATGGCTCCCGTCCTGCTCTCTGCCTGGTATGGATCCAGTACACTTCTAGACTTCTCTCTCCCCTAAATAAAGCCCTCACTTTCCTGTATATTTCTCTCACTGAATAAATGCTAAGACCTTACCATGTCACCTGGTTTATCCAAGCTGATATTCAGAATTCTTATCTGAATAGACAGCAAGGACCGTCAGGATATTAATATTGAAATTATTAATAACCTAGCCTATTTCAGTTTCACTACCAAAAACCCTTGGGCCCAGCCAGGCGGTTTCAGTCACAGGGCTAACTAGGTCATCTCGAGTTGGCACAAGGACAGGGCCTGCTCAGGCATCATCCCAGAGCAGCCTGGCCATGCTGTCGCAGAGGCTGGTCCACAGGCCAGCAAAGGTAGGCAAGCATTCTGGCTTCCCTGGCCATCTGCTCTGGTGCTCTCACCAACACACATGCGCAATGTACCGGCACATAGACACACACACACACACACACTCAAATACACTCACACACACGCACACTCTCACACACACTCATACTCTCACACACACACACACACTCATACTCACATACACACACATACACACACTCACACACACACAAATACACTCACACACACTCATACTCACATACACACACTCACACACATACACACACACTCAAATACACTCACACACACTCATACTCACACACACACTCACACAACACATGCACACTCTCACACACACACTCATACTCACATACACACACACATACACACACTCTCACACACACTCATACTCACATACACACACACTCACACACTCACACACACACACACTCACACTCTGCTCCACAGGGTAACAAAGAACCTGTGCAGAGCTGAGCACCACCAGAACGAGAGCGGGCCTCACTGCACAAGCTGCCCACCGGTCCTCCCAGGGCCAGGTCTGGAATCCACAGATCAGTCACAGCAAAGCCACTGCGTGTCCTGGAAACGCACACACAGGAACAAGTGGTGGCCAGCCTGAACTGCTGTCCTTACGACGCCAAAACTTGGATTTTGGAAGTTCCCTGCCCCCGCCCCAGTCCCTCTCTGATGCAGGTTTGTGCAAATGAGGCAGTAGATGCCCAATACCTCCCTGTTCTCTGGGAGTCTGGAATGCTAATCGTCACCTACATAACCAGTTCCCACTGAAAACCCTCCACACACAGTCGCTACTGAGACAATGCTCCACATGCCTTGTCACAGCTCATGGCGAGGAGTCAGCACCTCCCGCGTGACAATGACAGAGGCTTCTGGAGATAATCTGTGGATTCTCTGATTATTCCTACCCCCCTTTCCCTTTGCTGTAAGGCTTCTCAGCCATGTGTGTCAGAGCACGCTCTGTCCTTGGGTCTGTCCCATGAATTACCAGGTCTGCAAGGGGGAAGCAGTCTTGGGAGCCCACGGCAAATGACATGCGACAGTTACCCAGGAGGGTCAGGCCTCATCAAGGCCACATCTGTCACAAAGAGTAACAAAGTTCAGTTTTGCACATCCTGCTCAAGTCACGACAATATAAATCTTTGATTTTCAACCTTAGAATCACACTATGGAAAATGGGCAGATGATTCCAATCATAGTAACATAACGAAATATCAGTGTTACTTAGCTTGTACTGAACAAAAGTCAAAATGCAAACGTCAAGAATTGGAAGGCAAAACAGGAGGTAGAGAGAGCGCGGTGGGTTGTTTCTCTGGGAACGTATTCCACCTATTTGATTCTTGCACCTTGTACATGAACATGACACACACTTGAACATGACAGAAGCACTGAAATAAAGGAGAGGTGAGGAAATGATGCCTGGAGCCTCCATCACATTCATCAGTCTCACTTTATCCAGCACAAAGTGAGAAATGCAGGGGGACAACGTGGCTGGAAGGAGCAGTTCCCTCCGTTACACCTGTCCCCTTCTACAAGGACCTCAGGGTACACCTCGCTTGTGTGTGTATTTCAATCCCTGTTTCGCTGTAGGTAGTGGGGAAGTTACTTCTGACTCACTTATAGCACACGCTCCTGGGAAGGAACCAGCTATCAAGAGGGCAGCCAGGAAGCAGCACTGCCAATCCAGGGCAGGAGGCAGGTTCTAGTAACAGCTCACCACATAGTCCCATGTCAAAGGGTAGAAGTCAATGAGAGACTCCCTGTGCTTGTCACAGATGTTTACTTTTCAGACCTCAACTTGGTTAGTGTCCAAACAGTGACTAAAACATTCGTGTAATGATTCCTGTAACTGTCACATAAGGCATGGTATTTTCTGGAAAATCCTTGTGTTGCACAGAGATTAGAAAACTGCATTCACAATTTTCTTCTTGCTCTCAACCCATTCAATGAAACAAATAATGAAATGGACTAGAATTCTGTATGATGCAAGAATTCAGCATAATGAAATGAATGACAGTACTTCAAAAAGCTGGTGGAAACACATATTATACAAATATGCTTGTATTTCAGATGTTTTGTAACAAAATAAACTAATTTTTTAAATTCATTTTTTCATACTTAAAAGTATCTTCATATACAGTCATTATCCATACTTCTCACACTATCCGACTCAGAAAATTAAAATCAATATCTGAGTGAATCTATGCCATTATAAAGTTGATTTAACTTTGTTCATTTCTAATTTTAGAAAATGCAAAATTTTAATTGCCTGATTCTTGCATACTGTGCTTTAATAGTTGCATGGCTAAAGCATTTATAATTAATAGTTTTTATACAGCAGTAAGAAAGATCTTCAGAATAAAACATTAAAAATGGCAGCAGAAGGAAGCTATGGGCTATAAACATGTTCACAAAGGAACCAAAAAACTATTTTACTTCTCAAATCAGAGAATGATAAAAAGTTATCTGAAAAAATGTCAGAACAATGTGAAATATGTGACTTAGAATCAGTTGACTGCTGTTTAGAAACCTTCCTTTTTTACTTTGCCAGGTAATGGTACAA